TCGTGCTGCTGCATTTGTGGGTGAGGCTCCCGGAACCTGGAGTGGAAGGCGTGGTGGGGAGAGAAAGGGTAAGACACATCTCTCTCCAGCCCTCCCTTGCTGGAAGCTGTCATGCATTTCCTGAGAAGTCACTACATACCAGAGGTGTCATACTGCTTGTGGCCACTGGGAGGCAGCAGAAATATTTCTCCTCCCCCTCCCTCCCCTTGGAGAAACACTGCAGGGGAGGATCCAGGGCTTGGGGGAATAGCTGAGAGCAATAGGTGAAAGCATAGAAAAAGGACAGAAGAACAGAACCAAGGGGGTGCCAAATAAAAATAAGGGTAAGCCTGTGTGTAAGCGGTAGTGCCAGGGTGGCCAGGAACTGCTAAAGGAAGAAAGCAGAGTGCCCAGGCTGCCAAGAATAAGTAAAAGGAACTAGGCAGCATACAGACGGGAAGGCCTCTGCTCATCTGGCCCATCTTTCTGGAACATGCAAAAGTCATGCAAATAAGCACGCAAATCCCAACAAGACAGATTCCCCCCTGGTGTGAGTAAAGGGCAGACTAGAGGAAGGAGGATTCCAATGTCAGGGGTCACTCACCAAGGCCCCCACTGCAGAGACAGGCGTGGGTTCGGGGTGCAGGCTTGGTCGGGTGGGTGTCCAGGATCTGCTGCACCAGCTGCTCTACGGAGAACTCCTCTGTCCCGTTTCCACAGCTCCACTTGATGCCGTGAACTGGAGGAGAGTTGGGGGGAAGTGCTGTAAGAGCCCCCATAAAATAGGCCCCAGAGAACTCTGATGGCTCCCCCAAGCACCTGAGATGCTCTGAGACTTCCAGCCAGAGGAACAGCAGCCAGAAGCCCCCTGACTGCTCCTACCTGGAGCTCACAGCTGCCCTCCATAGTCAAACACCTTAGATCACACCAGGAACCCTGGTACCCACCCACCCACCCACCCAAGAAAGAAGCCTCCTGGCTTGGGGCAACATGGTTACCCCACAGGCTCCTGAGTATAGAAACTTGACTGCCATGGGAGGCCCCTGGGTTCACTCTCCCCTTGGAGCTCTGTCCTGGCCCTGTTGCCTTACACATGGGCTTCAGCTGTCCCAAGAGCTCCTCCCGGGACCACTTTAGCCACTCTCGGCGGTCGCTGCTGATGGAACAGAAGATGGGGCTGCAGCCCTTTCCACAGTCTTCCAGGGCCGGGACGTTCAGGTAGTGCACAAGCACGATGTCAGGGTTCTGCGGGCACAAGGGTACACACAGTGCGCTATGGGGTCCTGATGTCCAGGGGCTTAGCCTCCTAGTCCTCACTTTCTCCCCAGGAACCCCTAGCCTCACGCTCCCAAGTTCTGGCTCTCTCCATTCCCAAATCCCTTTCTCTTCTTCCCAGTCTCCTTTCCACACTCAGAACCTCGTCATCCTTCCCCTTCATTCCTGCAGACCCCCACCTCCCTCAAAGAGCCAGGTAGACTGTCTCCCTGAGCCCTTCCGTCCTCACCTGGAGCAGCCAGTAGCAGCGCCGATGGAATGTGGGGACGATGGAAGAGTGAACGTAGCAGCCATAGAGACACTGCCAGGAGACAGGCTGGGGTGGGGGGAGGGCTAGTCTGCTCCCCAACTCCTCCTCTGTTCAGTCCCTTTGCAGGAATCCCAATCTTGCCACCAGTTCCTCTTTAACCCGTACCCACCCCCATCTATTCCCCACACCTTTCACAACCCAGCACCCAAGTCACCCCGAGGTGAAGAGGAGGGGACAGTGGGGCCAGGACCTTACAACAAGGACCAGATTTGAGACATGGGACTATCCAGAAATCAGAGAGCAGGGCAATAACACAACTGAGATGAGGAGCAATGATTTGAGAGAAGAGAAACCTGTGCTTTGAGGTACTAAGTACTGTCAGACCCCTGAGGGAAATGCAAGAGAAGTAAGGGGATTGGGCATCTGCGGCCTCCAGGGGGAGGCGTGGCCTGAGCCCTGGAGAATTGGGTCATGGAGGGAAAGCAGAGAGTGGGCTGAGCAACCACCCAGCTGATCCTGAGTGAGTGAGAAGTGAAGAGTGACTAACTGGGAGGGTGGCAGGCAGAGAAGGTCACCAAGCCCTGGCAGGGCTGGAACCCAGCTCTTAGGGAAAAGTGGGGGCTAGGGCAGGTGTGCTGGAGGCCTTGCTTACCTCCATGCCCTGGACCTTCAGCTTCATGTGGTCCTCTCGGGTGGTCTTCCCATCCTTCCGCTTCTTCCAGAGGTAACCATCCTTTCGGTATTTCACCTTCTTGCGGTTGTAGAGGATAATGGAGCCATTCTGAGGCCTGATAAGGGAAGGACTGGCCTGGAGTTCTGTGGACAGAACCCAGGACCCCTGCTACTCCCCATCTTCACAAAACTTCTCACCTTGTCTTGGGGGCACATGATAGCCACTCATCATGCTTCTCAAAGGTGATCAAGTAGGATGCAATCTCCTGGAGGAGAAGAGGCACTCAGGTGGGGGTCCCCTTCCCAAAGTCTCAGCCTGGCCTCTTGGGCCTCCTCATCTATACCTCAGGGATAACGGCACCCCTGGAGGACTGTGTGAGAAAACGCAGGACAAGTGCTGAGCACAGTGCGCTGTTTGTAGGAAATACTTCGTAAGTGGTAGCATTTATACACAGGTGCATATACCAAGGAGAAGTGAGCTCCTACAAGATGCAGGTCTTTATAGCTTTCCTGTGATCCCCAAAGAGCCTAGAGAGTGTTGAAAGGCACAGAGGGGAACTCCTCCAGCCTACTAGGCCCTGTTGAGCCCCAATCCCCCAGGCTCCCTAGAAAACCTCATTTGTATTCCACCGGAGCCGCTCTGGAGGCAGCAGCGGGCAGCGAGGAAGACACTCCAGCAGCTTCTTGGGGAGAAATATCTTCAGGTGGTGGCTGTTCTCTAGAGGGGATGAGAAGGGAGGGCTTAGCATGAGACATCCCTGTGAGAGCCCAGGGAAAAAGGGCCCCAGACCACTGGGGGGTGGGGTGGGGGGCTGAGGAGTGGTGGGGTGGTGGTGGTGAATGAAATGATGCCAAGGAGAGTAGGGATCCAAGAATTAGAAGGTCACCATCACTTGGGGAAAATAAAAGGCTGTGCCCAACTTGGAAACCTGGACTGTGAACTCACCAGCAACCTCGGTGGTGTCCTTGGTATTCATGGTGAGGGCTCCAGGGGGCAAGGTCACCCCCGGCCTGAGGGGCCGGGGGGAGGGGGAGTCTGTGCTGGGAAGGGAGAGAAGAAGGTCATGGCAGAAGCCCCCACACTATCAAGGATGAGGAGAACGAGGTGAGAGATCTGGTACAGAACTGGGTTGTGATTTCTGAGGAAGCCAGAGGAAGGGGCTGGACTGTGATGTCAGAGCACAGTCAAGGGATGGAGAAGAGGGAGAACACAGACATGGTGCCAGGAACCAACACGAGTGGGAGACAACAGAACAGAGTAATCAGGAAGAGACAGGCGGGGTGGGGGAAAGGAGAAGGCCGGCGGTGGGGCCGGCGTTTACAGCCCTGGCTCTTGCAAGGCTGGAGCTGCGGTGGGGTCAGACCCTGGGGCTAGGACTCAGAGCAACCGGTCCTTGAAGGATGGTTTGACAAATGAGAGCCTGGATGTTGGGGGGAGGGCAGGAGTTCTAAGTCCGGGTGGAGAGCTAGGCCTTAAAAGACACACCCTGAGTTCCTTCTCTTTGATTTTTCCAGGGGGAAGGGCAGATCTGACAACTGATCTTAACCTCCACCCTTTCCTCCAGATTGGTGAGGCCTGAGAAGAACCTGGTTTAGACACCCAGGACCCAGCTACCCAACCCCAGGTCAACCCATCCTCCACCCTGAGACTGACCGCCTAGTTCACCCCACCGTACCTCTATCCCCAAAGCCTCTGCTTCCCTCGGCCTCCAGGCCTATCCTACCCCATCTACCACTCTGGCTCCAGCCTGAGCCCCCACCCTCCTGGAGGAACAGATGGAAGCTGGAGGATGCTCTCAGCGCGGGCTCCGCCAGGTGTCTGGGAATGGAGAGGGGGGAAGAGGCCCGTCTGAGCACGACTGTGAGCCCTGGAGCCTGGGTTGGGGTAAGGACTCCGCCCTAGGGCGCAGGTGCGCAGTCCGGGATGGGCAGCCCGCCAGGGTGCGGAGCGGGCCCGGGGGCGGCCCCCCCAGGAGGGGCGGTGGTCAGCGGAGACGCTCCGAGGTGGGAGGGTTCCGCCTCTCGCCCGCACGGAGGGATGTCTTGGAGAAGCTGCGGAGCAGAGTCCGCGGGCGCGTGGCAGGCAAGGGGCAGGGCAGGTGCCGGGGTGCGGGGTCCCCCAGGACAGTCCGGCCCGGCAGGTCCGCTGTGGGGCCCTGCGCCGAGCGGCGCCCCCTGGCGCGGGGGAGGAGGACGGAAGCGGGGAGTGAGGGCGAACCCGGGAGAGCGCCGGTGGTCCCCGGCGCTGCGCGCCAAGTCCGGGCGGTGGAGCTGCGCCCTCTGGCGCGGGGGCGGAGAGGCGGGCGAGAGGCCCCGGCTCTTACCTCCCGGGGTCCCGCGGGTGACGGCGGCAGCGGCCATTCTACCCTACACCGACCCCCCCCCAGCGCCGGCTGACAGCGGCGTCCGACGTCACTGCGCACGGGGCGGGGCTTCCCAATTAAGGGGATGGGGTTCGGGACGGGAACCTGGGGTCAGCAACCGTCGGGCTCTGGGTGGGGCGCTGGCCGGAGCGACTCGGCTTCAAGGGCCGCGAGCCAGGCGGAGGGACGGGCTGCCGGGAAGTCCCAGAAGGGGCGGCCGCGCTGAGGGGCAGGATGCCGGGTCCCGGAGGCGGAAGCTCCGCCGACTGACATGATCTCGGCCCGGAGAGCCGGGTGGGGAACACTGGAGCGGTCAGGACTAAGTTTTCGATTACAACTCCTTGAATCTGGGGGTATCAGCCCAACTTCATTTTGGCGGGGTCATCGCGAAGCTGAAAGGAGCCCTCCCTCCCCATGAGCCTCACCATCACTACATCTCGGACAGAAAGACAACTCTGGGCTCCACTTGCTTACTTTTTAATAACAGAACGAAGAAGAGAATAGTGGCAGGGAGCCTTGGGGGGTTCCTCTGATGGAGAGGGGAAGCCATCGGCGCTGTTCGTGCCTAGTTCAGAGGAGGGGAGAGGAAGATGGCCAAGGAAAGGATGTCCCAAATACTGGAGATTCCAACTCCCAATCCTGGGCCCCTGAGGCACGGCCAGCATCTTGGGCTTGGACAGTTTCTCCCTACTCCTCAGACTGTAGTTCCACCCCCCAGGGATAGTAAAAGGGGTTCCTAGTGGCTGTGACAGTGCTGAAGGGACCCATAGAGCCCAGCTGCCTGGAGAGACAAGACCCCTTCTGGCCCAAGGGACTCCAGGGAGACCAAAGCAGCTGTAAGAAAAAAAAAAAAAGAATCAAACAATAGGTCTTCCGATTTTCTAGGCCCCAAACCCAGGTACCCCCAAGTCTAAGGATCTGGCCTCCTTTCCTTTTGTTCCTCTCACATCCAGCTATCCCATGTGGTTCTTGGCTTCCCCTGTCTCCCCATGCAAGACCAGGGATCCATATCACCACCCACCAAAGTCCTCTTCAGCCATCCATACCTGGGCCCTGCCAGAAGTGAGGAAGTGGTCCTCCTCCTGTGGATAGTCTGCCCTCTCCTCTTCCCGATCAGGGTGTTCTGTGGTGCTGGGGAAGCCACAGCCATCACTGTCAACCAGCAGAGGCCCAGAGGCAGCCCCAGACGCAGCCCCAGAGCTGCCCCACTGGGCCTTCTTCAGCCTGTGGAGACTTAAGGCTTAGGAAAGAGGGGCCGAGAGGCCAGGCTTCCTGTCTCTCCAGTCTTCATCTTCCCGCCCTGAACTAGTTCCTGCTGGGACCCAGGAGTGTTATCATTTGACTTCCAACTCTCCACTTCCAACCTTCTGCTCCCCTCAGACTGAAGTGGTTTCCCATCCAGGAGCTCAGAGGTAACCTCTAGCTCTACACCATCCTCCAGTTCTGTGGAGTGCTTTCCTGTCTTCAGTGACCAGGGTTCCACTCCTTTCAGCTCAGGTGACTAATCCCCCATGTTCCCTCCTCCTTCCCACATTATGGGAAACTTTGCTTCAATCTCACCAAGACCATGGCACATTCCCAAGCAACCTCCAATTCCCTCAAAGCTCTCCACCTCTTCCTTAGTTCAAGCCACCCTGTCCCCATACCGTTTGGCTCCCAGAGCCTAGATGTCTCTCCTTACTCATTGATGATTCTCTGTCGCCTCCTTAGATCCTCCAAGTGATGAGTGACCGCCCTTACCCGGGCTGGGATGCCCCCAGATCCCTGCTGCATTCCTCCCGAATGTGGCCTCCTCCTCTTTCTTCTGCAGAGAACCTCAGGAGGTGGGAGTCCCTCAGGGCCATACTGGCCAGGCTGGGAGCAACCAGTGGCTCTCTGTACCAGAGAATGGGGAGAGGGAGCTGAAAGGCAGAACTGAGTCTCTCGGGGGAGCTGGGACTGAAATAGGGAACCAGGGGTCTTGGGAAGACCAGATTACAAAAACACGGCTGTGATCTGGAAAACATGATGACTGATTCATAGGCAGGAAGGCCTGCTCAGTGCACTAGCTGGGGGAGAGCAGAGGGAAGGGGGAATAAGGGGAGCTGGGGATGGGATGGCAGTGGGGTGTGATCTTAACCAAGAAGTGTCAAAGGGCAGAAAGTTCATCATACCAGCAGGGGTGGGGTGTACTGTTCCTCCATCCAGGTGGGGCTGTAAAGCACAAAAAGGGGGCTAAATGCAAAGAGAATATCCCTATCCATGTTGTTTCTCTAACAACCTCTCCCAACCACCTACCTGGCATGAGGAGCTACCGTGTCCATCACTTGGTGGGGCAGTTATCCTGAGACTAGGACTTATTGCTACCATAAGGCTTTCTGGTAGTTTAAAATTGTACAGCCTCCCCTCCCCACCTCCAGTTAGTCCCATTTCTCCATTTCTCCCACCTGGGCCTTTGACTAAGACTCTCCCAGAAGGTGTCTCCATAGCGCTGGGGCGTCAGTCTGAGGCTTTGGGAAGGCAAGCCGGGGAGTGGAGATCGGCTGACCACCCTAGAACACCTGAGGTGAGGACAAGGTAGGCTCAGGTCTGGCTCTTCCCTTACAGCACCTACTCACTCCAGGGATTCATGAGTCTTATCTTACCATGGGACCACACAGCTGCCCAGGCTCCCTCAGGCCATGTGCTCCTTTATCCATTTTAGATGAGAAAGGTGGTGAAGACTTTGATTTGAAAGGAGGTTGGAGCTGGAGTGAGCATGGAGATTAGCAATTGTCTGAGCCTCAGATCTCACTGAATCTCAAACTTCTACACCCCACAACCAGAGAACATCATACTTAGCAACCAGGGCTGTTAAAGAGGAAAGCCCCAGCTACTCAAGTGATTCAACAGGTTCCTTTTAGTCAATGCAAGGATCCAGGAGAGCAGAGTCTCTGTTCACTCCTGCTATATCTCCCCATTTCAGAAGCACTAGGGGCTACCCTAGTTGTTCAGTGGTAAAGAATCCGCCTGCCAAGCAGGAGATGCAGGTTCGATCCCTGGGTCAGGAAGATCCCCTGGAGAAGGAAATGGCAACCCACTCCAGTATTCTTGCCTGAAAAAATACCATGGACAGAGAAGCCTGGCGGGCTGCAGTCACAAAGGGTTTGACATGACCTAGCAAGTAAACAACAACTCAGAAATACTAATATCCTTTAGGTAGGGTGTGCAAAGTTGTTTGAGAATAGTTCTCATCACTTCTAAAGCCACCAGACTGACTGTCCTGATGTCTGCTCTCCTGCTATCCAGAAGAAAGTCCCAGGGCTTCAGCCGTTTATCTTCATCCCTCCGTAGATGATCTCACCCAGGTCCATGACTTTAAATACCATCAATGTGCTGATGACTCCCAAATCTATATTTCCAGCTCTGGCTCCTCCCCTGGACTTCAGATTTGCAGGTTTAACTGCCCACTCAACACCTCCTCCCTAGCTTTCCCCATCTTGCCAAAAGGCACCCCAAACGAAGAGTTGCTAGAACCAAAAATCTGGTATGCCTCACTCTCCCTCACCCTTCATATCCAACCTATCAGCAAGTCCTGTGAGTTCTACATCTGAAATACACTCAAATTTAACTAACGCTCACCATTTCCACTCCCACCACCATATTCCAGCATGTTTTCCCCTCTTTGGACTATTGCAATTGCATCCTCCTCCATTCCCTGCTTCCATTTGAATCCCTCAACAATCTAGTCTGTAAAGAGCAGTCGGAGTAATCTTTTAGAAATGATTATGTGAAATAATACCCTGTTTAAAGTTACTTCAAAATGGTCTAAGTATCAGGAGGCTGAATGGGTGTATCAAGAAAAAAATTATCCACCAGGGACTTCCCTGGAGGTCCATTGGTTAGGACTCAGTACTCTTACTGCTGAGAGCCCAGGTTCAGTCGTTGGTTGGGGAACTAAGATCCCACAAGCCGAGTGGTGTATCCAGAAAAAACAAAGATTATCCATCTAATGATAATTATTGCAGCTGACTAAAAATGGTACTCTGGTTTCGTGGTTACTATTTTCTCTACTTCTGTAGTTGTTTGAAATTTTCCATAATAAAAAAGCTGAAGGAAAAGAAAGTCTGCTCATGTCATTTCCTTGCTTAGAAACTCCCACTGATTTCTACTGTCCTTAACGTTCAAATTCTTTTCAATGGCCCATACAGTCCTATGTGATCTGGCCTCTACCTGTCTGCCTTTACTCCACTTTTGCCTTGATCACTAAGTTTCAGTTATGCTGATGGGCTTCCTGGTCCTAGAAGACAGAAAGTTAGTTCTTTTCTTGGGACTTCATTTTGTTTTTTCAAACCTACTATTCCTTCTTCTATCCCCTGGATCTTAGCAGACTGGCTCCTTCTCATTTTTCAGATCTCAATTCAAACTCATCTCCTCTTCCCCTTCCACAGTCACACTCTATATACTTGTGTCTCAGAGACATTCTACTTATACTGTCCATTTGTTTTATTTTTTCATGTGCTTACTACTATTTGAAATTATATTTATTCATATACACATTCTATTTACTCCCTGTAGAATGTTGGCTCTATGAGCAGGACCCCTATCTTTCTAATTGCTGAATCCCAAATGCCTAATATTCAGTGCCTAAAACACTATAGTGTTCAAAAATAATTTGCTGAGTAAATGAATAAATCACCAATCCCCTGAGAGCCAGGTACTGAGATTTCATACTACACCTGGGGAAGAACCCAGACATGGAATCCTGCCTCTGTCTCATCCCCCCTCCCCCACTATGTGGGGAGGACTCACTTGGCAAAAGGGATAAGGTTGTCTGCATCTTCTTGTACTTGCATGACTGGACTGGGTTGGGAGGTTGGATTGAGTCTCCTCATTGGTGCTGGGAATATAATAGAAAATGAATCATTCACTCACATAATTCACTATGAGTAAATGTAAAGACTGGAAAGATGTATAGGTCCAGAAGAAAGGAAAGCTATAAACGTATTTCAAATGCTGAATATTTTCCTTAGCTGAATATACACAATCAAGACAGCAAACACAGGAAATGTAGAAATGTGAAAGATAAAAAAAAAAAAAATCACTTTTCCAAAGTCAAATACACAGAGTAAGTGAAATTGACAGATGGCAGTTGAGTGACTTAACTGGCAATATGGGATAATGAAATGAAAAAGAATGAGAGGTGAATTAGACAGAGCCAGAGGCATTTGGGGATAATTGGTACAGAACTGGTGGCTGGGGCCAGTTAGAGAACTGAGGGTTGGTAAACAAACCAGGAATGAGGTGTTAATAAAAGGTAAGTGTGGACAGAACTGTCAACTGGTGACAAGGAAGGAGGGGGCAGTGGGAATGTCTAGAGATGTAAAAGGTGAGCAGAGGTCAGTTACACAGGACCAGAATTCCAGACAGCAAAAGGTGACCTGAGAGCTAGTTGGGGTGGGCAGACAATGTAGATAAGAATGTTAGATGAGTTAGGAGAGGCAGCATAAATGCCAGAAAATTGGAAACTGTTGCAGGTGAATAAGTATTTATTCAAAGGTAACTAAGATGGGCTGAGAAAGGAAATGAAGAATGAGGAGAGGAGTATTTAGAGCTGAGTTGGCAAATGCCAGTAAAGCTGGGCTGAAAGGGCAAATGGGATTTTAATGGAATATCTTGGGCCAGAGCAGAGAGCATGTGGCCGCTGAGGGACATTCAGACCTTAGATAATTGGTGTCTAGTTGGGTGACCCAGAGCTAAGAGAAAGATGGGGCTAAGGAAGATAGAAACAGTCCTGGACGGTTGACGGGCTTGCGGAGGGAGGGGAACCTGAGCCTGATAGGCAGAAGAGGACCCGAGGAATCTGGTCGGGCTGAGGAGTTAGCTAGAGCCTGGAGGTCGTTGGAGGTGGAAAGTCCTGTCCGGAGGGAAGGCTTGGAGGAAAGCCCCTTAGGGGGCTCAAGGGACCCTTGGCAGCTGACCCGAGGCGTGAGGAGCTGCTAAGCCTGAAGGCACAATTTTGGGGCTGAGGAGTTGATGTGGCTTCCAGGTGGTGGGCCCTGCGGGGCTGAGGCCTGCTGGGGCCAGGCTGGGCAGACAGGGGTGGCCTGGGCCTGAGGGGGCGACATGGCACTGCGGGCTCAGTCGAACCTAAGAACCCGGCAGAGACACAACACCCGGGTTGTGGTGCCGCTGCCGACTGCACTTGGCCAGGGCACCTGAGACAGCTGCGCGTCGAATTCTAGAACGTTACACCAAGCGCTGAGGAGGAGTGAGGCGGCGACCGGAGCCGGGGGCGGAGCCGACCAATGCCTCGAGCCTTGGGGCGGGGCCTGAGCCGCACCACCTCCTGGGCGGGCCTTGGAGGGCGGCTCCGCCCCCTGAGCGCGCCTCCGACGGCGGCGACGTGCGCGAGTCAGGGGCCTGGGTCCCCTACCCGGGTCCGCCCCCACCTTTCCCGTCTTTTCTGGCGCTGGCCTCCCGAGTCTCGGCGTCCGGGTCGCCCTCCCGCGTCCGCAACTCGGTTCCCCTGTCTCCGCCTGCTGGGTCCCTCAGTCCCGGGGACGTTGCCCCTTTAACAGCTGTCCGGGTCGCTCCCGGGCCATTCTCGCGACGGCGCGCGCCCGCCCTCCCATCCGCGCAGCCCCCGGGGCGCGAGTCCGCCGCCCGCCGCCCGGGGACCCGGCGAGGGGCGGGGGCAGCCCCGAACCGGCCCCGGATCGCCTCCTCTCCGGTCTCACTCTTCCCGGAAAGTTCGTCCCTTTGCACTCTGCCCAGCCGCTCCGGGAGCCCCGCCGCGACGAGGTGAGAGCTGAGGAAGAGGGGGGAGGGGGTGAGGGAGGGGACGCCCGCGGAGGAATGTGCCGGGCAGGGGGGCGGGGAGCCGGGGTCCCGGTTTACACCCCTCGGTGGGGGCCGGCTGGCCGCGGGAGCCGGGATCATGTGCTGTTTGTCCCGCGGAGGCGCAGAGGGGTGCCAGGCCCGGGCCGGCCGTCGGTTGGCTGGACTGGAGGACAGGATCCGCATGGCCGCCCAGAAAGGCCGGGCCGGGGGCCTGTGTGAAAACTGCAGGGCGGGCAGGATGCAGGTGGCCCGAGGACCCCTTTGCGGTCAGTCGGTCTCACCCTAGCCGCGACTCCTCCCGGTACCCCCCGCCCTGTACAGTGCACCGGCCGACCCCTTTACCTCTCTTTGAGTCCTTTACGCCCGCAGACCCCCAGCAGTGCCACCCCTTTCCCAGTCCCAGAAGCTGTCAGGGCGTCACCACAACGTGTCCCCATCAGTGTCCCTTCCCTCCACTACTCAGGGTCTGGGGGTCAGGGCTGTTCTTCGAACCCCTAGACAGCCTCTGTGGTTTCAGCTACTCCCTGTCCTGGACAGACCTGCCCTCTCACCTCTCCCATGCCCTGGCCAGAAAGGCTGGTGAGGTGAGGCCCAGCAGGACAGGGGTTTGAGGCCCTTGAGGGCCACAGAAGGGGGACCCAGCATCCCTGATCTCTATTCACAACCATCCACCCTGTTGTCCGTGGGTGTGGGCTGCTCAGCTTCTCCTCCCTGGGTGTGGGCACCAGATCACCCACATTCCTGGGCTCCAGCCTGGCACCTTCCCCAGGGCAGTGGACGCCATTGCACTAGCCCCAGGCTGGAGCTGGGACCTGCCTGCTTCCTTTCCCTTCTCTCGCTTTTCAGGGGGACCCTACGTCCCCTAAACACAGGTATTCTGGATCCTTAACAGAGGACTCTGGGGGATGGTAGGATGGTTACAGGATAACCCCACCCTCTCCTGCCCATTGTCCTGGAGCCTAAAGAGGAAGTGCTGGGGGCTGGGCAAGGGGTTTGGGGCTTACAGGCAGGCCCTATGGAGCCCAGTTCTGGGCTATATCTCCAGCCATTGGACTTTGCCCATCAGCAGTCCCTCCCTCTGTGTGCAGGTCATGGACCGTAGGTGGGAACTGGTTTCTACTTCTCCCTGACTGACCTTGTCAGGAAATTTTAAGGCAGGTCTTATGTTTGGGATTTTCTCTCATATCATTTCTTTTCTGGGCTTACAGTTTGTGCTTTAGTATTGCCTGTTGAACATTTCTGTGTTTGCTGTCCTCTAGGTCTTCCTTTCCATTTCTTCCATTATTTCCCTTGTAGCATAATCTCAGTCTTGGTCTCTCTGGTTTTCTTAGTGTCATGGTGTTGGGGACTTTCTGCCCCTGCTTCCCACTGGCCTCAGTGTCTCTGCCCATGTGTCTGAATTGTCTTCTGTCCAGCCTCTTTCTCTCTTCTCTATCTGAACGTCCAGTACACTTGTGAGTGACGAGGAATAAAAATATCACCATCCCTGCCCTTGGATTCACATTGCATTTGGCCACTCCAGAGGGACAGCCGGCCTCACTTTTTGTGACATTACCCCCTACCCCTTGCCCTCCAACCCTGGCAGCCCAGACACACCTCTGGAGCCATTGGTGCCTCCTAACCACTCTTCCCCCACAACCAGGGTTTCCCCCACAGCCCCAGTTGGCGCGGCCAGGCCCCCAGTGTAGGATGGGGCTCCTCCTACGAGGGCCGGTGGCAGCCAGAACTGATACAGCTCCCCTGGTCTGGGGCCAGGACGCCAGGTAACTCTGGGATGACAACCCAGGTCCCTGTGAGCTGGGATATGGCTGGGGAGAGAGGCAGGCGCACCTCCGGGAGTCCCTGAGGAGAATGACATTGGGAGGAAGGCCAGGGGAACAGAGACTGGGTCTTTGAGGGGCTGGGTAGCTGGGGACGGGGCGGGGTGGAGAGACTGGTTCCTGGGAGAAGCTGGGAGGCGACATCTGGGTCCCCCCAGCCCCTCTGACACCGCCTCTGTCTCTGTTCTCCAGCTGAGGAGGGTGGGCGTACCGGAGCCATGGCTGGCGCCTCAGTGAAAGTGGCAGTGAGAGTTCGGCCCTTTAACGCCCGTGAGACCAGCCAGGATGCCAAGTGTGTGGTCAGCATGCAGGGCAGCACCACCTGTGAGTGAGTCCCAGGGGCCCGGCTGGGCACAGGCAGGGCAGGCTAGGCCCACTATACCGGCCAGGCCTGCTGGGCCAAACCGGGAGGAGGGCTGCGCTGGGCGCAGAGCAGGTGCTGGTTGTAAGGACAGGGGCTGGCCTTGCCATGCGCCCAGTCCCTGGGAGGGGGAATGTTGGCCTGAAGCCCTCCATTGCCCAATCCAGGGAGGCAGCCGGGAGGGGGGCGGGTCCCGGGAAGCCAAAATTAGCTTCAGTAGATGGAGGGGGTGGGGAGTGTTAAAGGGGAGAGATGAATTAGGATAGAGGTGGGGAGTGGGATACCTGGATTCTGGGGGCTTGTGGGGAGTGGGCAGAGGTTGGGAGTACCTGACTTTGGCCTTACTTCCTTTGCTCTCAGCCATCATCAATCCCAAACAGAGCAAGGATGCCCCCAAAAGCTTCACTTTCGATTACTCCTACTGGTCACACACTTCGGTGAGGTTGCTGGGCTGGGGAAAGAGCTAAGCAATGAGGGACAGGGGCTTTAGGTCCTGGGGAAGGGGGGCATTGCTAGGAAACTGGACCTCCAGGGGATGGGTTGGGAGGACCAGCACCCGTGGGTGGGGGTAGGTAGGACCCTGTGCCTTTGACTCCGCCTGGGAGGGGGAGGCAGAGTCCCTGGGGAAATGAGGACCAGCAGGAGACCAGATGGGATCTTCTGGGACAGTTAGGACTGTGATGGGGGTGGGGAGCACACAGGACTTTTGGGTACCTGGGTACCAAGGACAAAGTCATTTAGGGTTCCTGCTGTCTCTCTTGCCCCCTTTCACCTAGGCGGAGGACCCCCAGTTTGCATCTCAGCAGCAGGTGTATCGGGACATTGGAGAGGAGATGCTGCTCCATGCCTTTGAAGGCTACAATGTGTGCATCTTTGCCTATGGGCAGACGGGGGCTGGGAAGTCCTACACCATGATGGGGCGGCAGGAGCCAGGGCAGCAGGGCATCGTGCCCCAGGTACTCATGGGGCCTGGCAGGGAGGCCGAGGCGGGAGCATCTTCAGCTGCCTCTAGGGGAGGAAGGCCTAGGTCTCAGGGTGACGGCTCTCTGAGGTCCTCAGAAATAGGGAAGGTGTTGAGGGTTGAGGTTGGCCACAGCCTGGACCTCAGGGCCAAGAAGGCTTAGTGAGAAGAGCCACTGCTTTGGTGGCAGAGAGCGCTGGGTCTGAAGCTTGCTTCTACCACTTTCTGCTGTCTTACCTTGTCTCGGGGAATTATTTGCAAGTGTAGCTCTGCTGTAGACTCATATACCATAGTCAAGGCATTGACCATAGGAAAAACCAGTTGTGGATAGCTGAGAATTGACCCATATTATCCCTGACTGCAGCACTGTGGCCTTGCACATGGGCTCTGGGTTTGCATTTTGGCTCACTGAATACTAGTCTGAGATCCTGGGCAAGCCAACCTCTCAGAGGTGGCTCTCGCTTCTGTAAAATGCGAACGATCCCCTCCCTCCCTTGGGGCTGTGGTGAGGGTTAAACAGGGTCACCGGAGACCTGGCCTGGCCTGGTGCTGGGCTCCACAGGTGTGTTGTGAACAGCAGCGTCTCTGTGCCTCTCTGTGTCTCCCTCCAGCTCTGTGAGGACCTCTTCTCTCGTGTTAGTAAGAACCAGAGTGCTCAGCTATCCTATTCTGTGGAGGTAAGCCCAGGTTTTGGGAGGGGGCTGGCGGTGGTACACAGTGTCCCCTGGGTAGGGAGGAGGCGAGCAGAGTGACTAAGACCAGGGCATCTTTGGAGTCAGGCAGCGTGGGATCTATTCCAGGCTCTGCCAGTTAGTGACCAGCTTTGGGCAAACAATTTCTCTTTCGGCTCCTGAGGATGTTTATCTAAAATGATAATGGTCAGGGGCCCCTCCTAGGGTTATTGGGAGGATCAGGTGAGCTTGTACTTGTAAAATGCCTAGCAATGCAGAGTAAACATAGTGAATACTCCGTGTTACCCGTGTTGTATGCAGTGGGAGTCCAGGGTAAGTTTTACACTGGGTATGGTTGTTAGCTTTGTGGTGTTTAGTTTGCTCCTCCCACTCAGGTGAGCTACATGGAGATCTACTGCGAGAGGGTACGAGACCTCTTGAACCCCAAGAGTCGGGGCTCTCTGCGGGTCCGAGAGCACCCCATCCTGGGCCCCTATGTGCAGGACCTGTCTAAACTGGCTGTGACCTCCTACGCTGACATTGCTGACCTCATGGACTGCGGCAATAAGGCGCGGTGAGGCAGGCTGACGGGGTGGAGGGGTAAGGGAGCCGGGGTTAGGAAGATTCGGGGCGGGACCCACTGACTGCTCCCTCCCCCACCCAGGACCGTGGCTGCTACCAACATGAATGAGACCAGCAGCCGTTCCCACGCTGTCTTCACCATTGTCTTCACACAGCGCTGTCACGACCAGCTCACTGGACTGGACTCAGAGAAGGTAGGAACCCGCTCCCGCCTGGTCACAGAGACCGAGATGAGATAAGCCAGGCTTGTGTCCTCCCTCCCTGCCCAGGCTTGGTCGAGGGCCTCCTCTGGGCTTCCACGGCCCCCTGCCCTGTGCTTTCTCCATCAGATCAGTGGGATACAACCTCCTGTTTGAGTGTTTGTCCTTCTT